CCCCAAAACCCCAAAACCCCAAAACCCCAAAACCCCAAAACCCCAAAACCCCAAAACCCCTGATGAATGATTTGGTGTTGATCGCAAATTAAATTAGTCCATAGAATCGAAAACGAAATATTCTAAAATTTCGAGGTGGAACACTCGGAGTCGCTAAAGTACCTAGAAGCTGTGAGACAAACAAACCAGAGGGAGCTTTCTCCTAATACTGCATTTAAGATATGGTTCAGAATACCCAGTGTTCTTTGTAAAATATTGAATACAAATTTGAATCGAAAAACTGTCAGAAGGTACAAAGTTCACCAAACCAGAAAGTATTTTTGTTTTGTTTTTTATGAAAGAATATGATATAGATTCTACTCCATGCGAAATTACTCGCTAAGGTGTTGGGTTATCGCCAATTTATGGAGCAACAGCTGCGATGGTGACGTTGTGTTCTTCCCAGTCACTATCCAGGTGAATATCTACCAAGAGGTTATCCTCAATATATGATCCATCGAAGTTAGTGAAGCACTTGTAATGAGCATCTGCTGCTGGTGCGAGGTCTGGAAGGTTAATACTAGCGGCTAAGGTTGATGCCATGTTGAAACTAGTATCTGGATGCATTCCGTCATTCAAGTTTACCACACCAACGTTAGTATGAGAAGCATCAGTTCCAGCTCCAGCCCAATATCCTGCTGCTGTATAGTGAGATCCGAACAAGAGTGTATGTAAATGTGCGTTAGAAGTACACTCATGAATGGCACAGAGGAAGCTCATTCCAAATCCTACTGATCCATCAGCAATATTGAAGCTATCATCAGAGGCAAAGCAGATGGTAGTGGCTGTCTCAAGGAGGTGAAGATTTTGATCTAAGGCCATCTGAATGTGAATCTTCCTCATGTCAGGATCAGCAGCATCATCATCAAGTGAGAAGGTGGCTCCTCCTCCGAGAGTAACACCGAATGGGTCGGCAGACACCAAAACGCTGGAAAGCAAGAGTACGGTTAGTGCAATGAATTTGTTCATTTAATAATTATTAATTATTAATTGTTGATCTATTCTCTCATTTATATCGACCCAAGTTGGGGTTTTGGGGTTTTGGGGTTTTGGGGTTTTGGGGTTTTGGGGTTTTGGGG